TTCAAACAACTATAAAAATAAGCTTAATGATTAACAAAAATTAAACTCCATCGTGAAAATACACAATTTAACTCAGTTTCAAGGATTTTTAAAGGGTGAGGACTCTCACTCTTGAAGAAACGACAAAGTTTGGCTTCACTTGGATGATGAACTCGTGACTTGGATTGGGAAAACGTGTTTGGCTTAAATAGTAGATTTTGAGGTGTTAGATATCATGCATAATCATTCAAAATAGATCAAAACTCACGCAATAAAAGAAATTGATTAATGAATAAGTACCGGAGAGGAAAACATACTAAAAGCGATTTACAAACATTTATTCTCGGATTAGGGCTTGAACCCAATTTTTGAGAGCTTTCTAGGGCTCAAAAATCATCTCCAACTCAAGAAAATGAAGAGGGGTGTTAGAACTATGAGTTGAGAGAAATATTTTTATGGAAAATTATAGTTTTGAATGTATTTGGTGGGTTTTCTATGGCTCTTCTACACAGTTACGAGATTTTTTGTTTTTCTGAAAAAGAGAGTATGGAAGAGAGCGTGAAAGAGAGGAAGGAGATAATGGGTTTGATAAGTTTTGAAATAATCGATATACTCTCTTTTCTTATTATTATTTTTTTTTTTAACCCAACTAAATTTCTATTCGTTGTGGTGTATGGTGACTCCCAAACAACCAATCAGAAGCTTTTGAAACTGTAAAAATCATAACTAATTCTAGAAAAATCATTTTTGAGTAATTAAAAATCAAACTTATAGTTTAGGATGTCTATTTTAAGAGAAAAATATAAACTAACACAACAATATATATATATATATATATAAATAACCGAAAAAAAAAACAGAAACTTCACAGTTGGTTACAAAAACTTACTCATGATAATTTTGTTAAACATATAGCAAGCAAACTTCAAACAACTATAAAATAAGCTTAATGATTAACAAAAATTAAACTCCATCATCAAAATACACAATTTAACTCAGTTTCAAGGGTTTTTAAAGGATGAGGACTCTCACTCTTGAAGAAACGACAAAGTTTGGCTTCACTTTGATGATGAACTCGTGACTTGGATTGGGAAAACGTGTTTGGCTTAAATAGTAGATTTAGAGGTGTTAGATATCATGCATAATCATTCAAAATATATCAAAACTCACGCAATAAAAGAAATTGATCAATGAATAAGTACCGGAGAGGAAAACTTACTAAAAGCGATTTAGAAACATTTATTCTCGGATTAGAGCTTCAACCCAATTTTTGAGAGCTTTCTAGGGCTCAAAAATCATCTCCAACTCAAGAAAATCAAGGGGGGTGTTAGTAATATGATTTGGGAGAAAGATTTTGATGGAAAATCAGAATTTTAAATGTATTTGGTGAGTTTTCTATGGCTCTTCTATAAAGTTACGAGATTCTTTGTTTTTACTAAAAAATAGAGAAAGGAAGAGAGCGTGAAAGAGAGGAAGGAGAGAATGGGTTTGATATGTTTTGAAATAATCGATATATTCTTTTTTTATTATTTTATTTTATTTTTAACCCAACTAAATTTCTATTAGTTGTGGTGTATAGTGACTCCCAAACAACTAAGCAGAAGCTTTCGAAATTGTAAAAATCATAACTAATTCTACAAAAATCATTTTTCAGTAATTCAAAATCCAACTTATAGTTTAAGATCTCTATTTTAAGAAAAAAATATAAACTAAGACAAACATATATATAAATAACCGAAAAAAAAAAAAACAGAAACTTCACAGTTGGTCACAAAAACTTACTCATGATAATTTTGTCAAACATATAGCAAGCAAACTTCAAACAACTAGAAAATAAGCTTAATGATCATCCAAAATTAAACTCCATCATCAAAATACACAATTTAACTCAAATTCATGGGTTTTTAAAGGTTGAGGACTCTCACTCTTGAAGAAATGACAAAATTTGGCTTCACTTTGATGATGAACTCGTGGCTTGGATTGGGAAAACATGTTTGGCTTAAATAGTAGAGTTGGAGGTGTTAGATATCATGCCTAATCATTCAAAATAGATCAGAACTCACCCAATAAAAGAAATTGGTCAATGAATAAGTATTGGAGAGGAAAACTTACTAAAAGCGATTTAGAAACATTTATTCTCGGATTAGGGCTTGAACCCAATTTTTGAGAGCTTTCTAGGGCTCAAAAATCATCTCCAACTCAAAAAAATGATGACGCGTGTTAGTACTATGAGTTGGGAGAATGATTTTGATGGAAAATTAGAGTTTTGAATGTATTTGGTGGGTTTTTTATGGCTCTTCTACACAATTACGAGATTCTTTGTTTTTCTAAAAAAGAGAGTATGGAAAAGAGCGTGAAAGAGAAAAAGGAGAGAATGGGTTTAATATGTTTTGAAATAATCGATATACTCTCTTTTTTTATTATTTTATTTTATTTTTAACCCAACTAAATTTTTATTCGTTGTGGTGTATGGTGACTCCCAAACAACCAATTAGAAGCTTTTAAAATTGTAAAAATCATAACTAATTCTAGAAAAATCATTTTTGAGTAATTTAAAATCCAACTTATAGTTTAAGATGTCTATTTTAAGAGAAAAATATAAACTAACACAAAAATATTAATAAATAACTGAAAAAAAAAACAGAAACTTGGCGGTTGGTCACAAAAATTTACTCATGATTATTTTTTCAAACATATAGTAAACAAACATCAAACAACTAGAAAATAAGTTTAATGATCATCAAAAATTAAACTCCATCATCAAAATACACAATTTAACTCAGTTTCATGGGTTTTTAAAGATTGAGGACTCTCACTCTTGACGAAATGACAAACATAAACTCCATCATCAAAATCTGTCGCAGATCGCCAAAAGTATATATTTTATAATATTTCTGAATCCGGCATTATATTCAATTTAGTTCTTGAATTAATAATGCAATGAAGTCACAGTACATCCTTCATGTCGGATCCTTGTCACCCATCACCTCATTTAAGTCAAACATAATTATAAGATTAGTTATACATTATATTCAACCAATCAAAATAATAAGATCTACATACATAATTATAATCATTAAACAACGATCGACTTGAGATTTGCATCCGTTTGATCACGCACAATCTTTTTTTTTTTTTCTGGTTTTAAAAAAAATAAATAAAGAGAAATAGAAATGCATGAAATCTGTCGTTATAGGCTGCTCATACCACCTTATAGGACTCACAAAGACCTTAAACAAGTCATATATGGTTTGCCTTATTCGATGTGGTTTGCCTTATTCGATGCATCTACTTTCAGAATTTACATCATAAATGGTTCATTGCTGATTTTTTTAATCTAAAAATTGATTATTGATGTTATTCTGCTCCTCATCTCATATCCAGTGGTGGAGCCAGCCTTTCATTTTAGTGAGGCGTATATTAAATTTTTTTTAATAAATTATCTTTAGTAGGGAATATAAAAAAATATATTTATTTTAGTGAGGCATATATTATTTCAGTGAGGGTTTAAGTGTAAAATTTTAAAATTTTTAAAAGTAATTTTTTTAAAAAAAACAAATTTGAATGAGGACGGTAATCTCCATTGATCTGTACTTAAATCCGCTACCCTGGACATCATCTATATCAAAAATCCTTAGCTTCATCAATGAAATGGAAGAATGCTTGACCTAATTCTATTGAAGGATGAACTCAATTTCAAGCAAATCATCATGGGTTCGACACCACACAGTCTAATGGTCGGACAAGACTTAATTATATTAAAGCTATTAAGATTAAACCTGAGAACATTCCGCAAAGAGAAGAAGGAAGGAAAGATATCCTTATTACTGCAGTGTGACCATTGTTAATTGCTTTAAAGTGGAAAGTGGCAACAATAGCTTGTCTTTTACAAAAAAAAATAATTATAACCCTAAAATAATTGTGATATCCTTCCCTAAATGACAATTGCATTGCCTATTTAGCCTTGTAAAGTTTATTCCTATTTTATCATTATTGTTTCTTTTTTTTCACTGGAGCTATATTAAATCTTTGGGTCTTAGCCTTGCTCACATATTATTGATCAGTATTAATATTCATTCGAATTAACAACTTTTAGAAGCATAATTAGTCGATGTGTGAGAAATTGTGATTTGTCTGCTGTTTAATTTCGCTGCCTAAAATAGTATTTACATCAAATGTCTAATTTTAATGTTAAGAATAGTGTCTAATCAATTAAATTATCTCACATTATTTAAAAAATTAAAATATCTTTTTAACTAATTTTTTCTTACTTTGATATTTAAATCTATTAAATAAGTTGGAACGCCCGTTGAAAAACCAAAATTAGCCGGTTGTTTTGAGTCCTTGGTCTACGTAGGTGGAGTGAACATCAACTCTAAAATGAAATATCGTTACAGGAGCTTGAAAAAATAAAAATAAAAATAAAAAAATGTACGCAGAATAGAAACTAAATAGGAGCTTGACATAATTGGGAAAAAAAATACGAGCTTAAATAGTTGGAAAAGAGGCTAAAAATTATTTAGGAACAAATTCTCGATAACTTACAAAGCCAAATGACTCTTGTACTCGACGCTTAACAGAGAAAAATAATGAGAAATTTTTTTCAAAGCTAAAACTAAAGAAAAGGCCTTTCAAACTCACCATGAAATAAGCTATTCAACCTTAATCAACCCACTGTAAACAGAAATTTAAAAATAAATTTTAAAAAGATAGCTTAGAATCACCATCAATAATAAAAGATGAACCCTATACAGCATTATTCCTAAACAATAATATAGCATCCAAGAGGAGAAGGGATACGTCTATTCTTGCAGCTAGAAGGTGAGAATGTTCATGCTTAACTCGGCAACCAATTCGATTAGGAGAATTCACATTTTCAAAGAGCTTTTCAAAAGTTAGATGTGATATCTTTTAAGAATTTTTTACTGTAAAAACTTAAAACTGAAAACTCGAATCGGTAAAATGAACGAGACCTAAAGGAATACAAATTTGATAAAACAGGAATGAGGAAAAAAAAGTGCTTGTAAAACAGGGTCATCGCCTTTCATGGAGATGCTTTGTTAACTCACAAAATGAAAGTTTTTGAGAAGAAAACAAAGATATTGCAGTATCCAAACAAAAATCAAAATACCCTTAGGCAAACTCACACCATAATAAAAGGTACTTCAAAGCTTATTAACACCAACATCCCTCTACAACTCGAAATCAGGAAAAAGAGTTTTTTAAAGTCTCAAGTCTCAACCCTAATGCCATATACCACAGCGAGGGTATGTATCGGTACACCAACAAAAATGTACTCGTCAAAAAAGAAACCCGAAAGGAGGTACAACAGCCAAGTTTCTTTAGTACTTGTAGTCCTTGACATGAAGGCTTTCGGCAGCACCCTCAGCAAGAGTGGCGTCACCCTTGTAAGTTCCGAGGGTCGCCTCTGAGTTGGCCTTGGCCCTGGTGAGGAGAGCAGCCTGGGCCTTGGGAATATTTTCCTCCTTTCCTGCCCATGCCTTGAGTGTGCTCTGCTGGAGTGCCCGTCCGAAGGAGAAGGAAAGCGACCACGGCTTCTTTCCCTTGAGCTTGTTCATGGCGTTGAGGTTCAGGGTGGCCTCCTCCTCGCTCTGCCCACCGGACAGGAACACAATAGCCGGAACAGCTGCGGGTACGGTACGTTGCAGGGCACGGACTGTGTGCTCAGCAATCACCTCTGGTGCAACCTTTTTGGCTTCTGATCCGGGGGTAACCATGTTGGGTTTCAAAAGGGTTCCCTCAAGAAGGACATGATGGTCGTTCAAGGCCTTGTAGACGGCAGCAAGAACGCGTTCGGTCACCTCAGCGCACTTCTCGATGTCATGGGGTCCATCAACAAGGATCTCGGGCTCAACAATGGGAACAAGACCGTTCTCCTGGCAAATAACAGCATAGCGAGCTAGACCATTTGCATTTTCGTTGATGGCCAACTGAGAAGGCTCGTTGGGGCCAATATTGAGAACAGCACGCCACTTGGCAAACCGAGCACCAGCTTCATAGTATTTATGGCAACGTTGGCCAAGGCCATCAAGACCTTGGGTTGTGGTCTCACCATTGGTGCCAGCAAGCTCAACAGTACCCTTGTCAACCTTGATTCCTGGGAGGACGCCACCTGCCTTCAAAACTTCAACAAACGGCTTGCCTGAAAGGAATATTAAACAAGGTAAAAAAACACTGTTTAAAAGAGAACATTCATTTCTGGTTAAGAAGTCAGTGAATATTGCATACAACCGAAGGTTCTTTTGATTATATACACCATTCTAAACTGTTAACAATGAACAAAAGTCAAAATCACCATTATGAAGATGCCGCTGAATTTTCTTCCCAAGAGAGGAAATATTAAAAAGAAAACTGAACAAATTTCCAAAGCACCTAAAAAAATTACCAGCAGCTGTAGATTGGTAAAGGGTTTCCTCGAATAGAATAACTCCACTGAGGTATTGCAGGGCTCCAGGAGTCGTGAAGAGGAGCTCACGCAGAGCACGCCTGTTTGACTCGACATTCTCTACATTGATGCTTGAGAGACGCTTTCCAATTGTGCCAGTTGACTCATCAGCAGCAAGGATACCCTTCCCAGGGGTTCCAATGTAAGCAGCATTAGCAATGAGCTCATCTGCAAGGCAAAAAGATTAGATAAAAGGGAACAAAATTTACAATCATAGATTCTCACCAGTAAAGATAACGAAGGAACTAGTACAGAACACAATGAGCCCGCAAAGGCCAAGAAAAAGATCCAATTTATCTTTAGTCATTGCTCATTACATACTTGTACATTAATCTTTTGTCAATCACAAATTCTGAATAAATAACATGCAAACGGTGGGTCAATGACATGAATGGTTATAACAATAACATAACTGGATAGGAGGCAGAGAAGACCAAATGTTGGAGTACACAAGAGTTTTGAACTATACAAAATGTGAATTGTTTCTTTTTGCAAAACCAGAAAAATTAAGAGTTTCCAATCAGAATACTAATATAAATTCCAGTAATGACAAGAAAAAGGCACGGACTATGAAAGAATGTAATATTACTATACAATGGAAGAATCTAGAACCATCCATCAATAAGTTCAATTTACATAAGGTATTTCGCTATCCAGAATGACTTCGGATTTATGTACTATTGAACTTCACAATAAACAAGAGACATTTTCCAATACAAGTAAAAATGAACACAAACAGATTACCCTCTTGCTAGTTCAAAAGAGCATTACTAAAAAAAAAAAAAAAAAAAAAAAAAAAAAAAACACACACACACACACGAAAGATTAGATCTGCTCCACTAATGAAGCCCCAAGAAGGATCTGATGTCGAACAGAAAAATAACACAAAATTTCTAAAGGTCATTTTTTATTCGAATAAAAATAAATCCATGAGTAAAACCAAAGCAATTTTACAGCTTGCATATCTTCATCACTGAAACAAAACATACAAATCAAAAGTTTATTTCTACAACCGGATTAATTTGTTATTTGTGTATTCCCAGATCAAAAAACTAAGCTTGTGTTGTGAATCTTCTAGTCCGAATTTTTTCCTCAAAAAAAAAAAGTACGAATTTTTAGTTTGTGTGCTTTTCTTTATTTTTTATTGGTCAGCAAGATATGAATATTTAAAAAAACAAAACAAAACAAAAACTCAGGATCCGCACCCACAAACAAACACAGACAGAGATAAACAAATAAATAAATTACATACAGATCCAGTGTTTCGGATACTAAAGTGACAAAAACCAGAAAGAATAATTAAAGCAATAAAAAAAAAAGAATTTTATATCTGAAAGAACGGGAAAAAAATTTAAAAAAAAAAAAAAAAAAAACCGCAATAATTGAGCACCAGAAAAGAGCTCTTAATTACTCAAAAAAAAAAAACGCAAAATCAATTTCACAAACCAGAGACGCCATAATTCGAGATCAGAATTACAAGTAACAGAAGTGAACAGAAAAGAGATCAGAGCAATTCGCTAAAATCAACAGATTAACAAATTCTAACCCGAAGTAAACGAAAAAGTAAAAGAAGCCATAGATCTAGGGTGGATTACCTTGGTATTTGCTCTTGAAGGCAGACATGTTTGATCACGAAGGAGGGTTTAGAGAGAGGAAGTAGGAAGGGTTAGAGAGAGAGAGAGTAGAAATGTGTAGAATTGAAGAGAGAGAGAAAGGAAGGCGAAGTATTCGTGGAATCTGATATATAAGATAGGCTTGGCGTTTTTCCCACGTAATCTGACTTTTACACCGCCGTTGGGCTTTTGATCACGAGCGGTTTTCTTTTCTTCTTTTTACCTTTTTGCCCCTACCATGGCCTATCCTTATACAATTAAAAAAATAATCTCTTTTCATAATTAGGGACTCTTTACACAGCAAAATTGAAATATTAAGAAATTTTTGACATATCATAAAAATAATAAAACTTAATATCTGTAAAATAATTATTATATAATTATATAATTAATAATTATTATGTTATTATTAATATTTGAAATATTTTGATAATTAATAATTATTATGTTATTTTGAGATATTTATAATATTTTTAAAATTTTGCAAAATTTTAAATAAAAATATAAATTTTATCATATATTATAATTATTTCATGAGTTTTGTAATCTTTTCCTAATTTTTGTTAATTTCTAACTTCAAATATGAAATTTTGTCATAATTATTATTAACGTTTCAAGGAATATTTATGGGCCCAACAAACAAGGCTAGAACTGGAAATTAAGAGAAAAGGGCAGATGGAGCTCCTGGAAAGTTCCCAAAAGGCCAAAACCAACTGCTGTCCGTGGTAATCCTTTGGGTCGGAAGGATCAAAACTTTGCTTTTGTTTTCCTCAAAAAGTAAGGCGCGTTTGGTATGCGAATTATATAACTGAAAAGGTGATTAAAAGTAATATAATTATCAGAAAATATGTATTAGCACGTTTAGTTATATATAATAATTTTTTCTCATATTTCTAAACACGTTATTTTACTATGTTCTGTTGGTACAGTGGACTTTTCATTTGCACTCAAATTCAAAAAAAAATTTGAACTTAAATTATAATTTTATTTAAGTTCATATTATTTTATAAACTTTGAGTTTAAATTTGAGTTTTAACTTGAGTTTGCGGTTAAAATCTCAGTTTAAGTTCTCCTTTCAACTCAAGTTTCTAAACTCAAACTTAAATTAATTAACAGTATTTTTTCTATTCTTAAAAACACCATAATTTTTTCGTTTTAATTTCAATTTAGATGATTTTTTTATATGTGTTCACAGTGAAAAGATAAATAAAATCTCACCCATATACCCTATTAAAATTAAGGATGTTCATAAACCCGCAGGCCCAACCCACCCATCCTAACCCAATCCGAAAAATGTAATTTCTAGTATTAAATTTATTTTTTCAACCCATTTAATGTCTGGCCTGAAGTTTTGAGGCGCGGTGTAGGTTGGGCTTATAATGGCCCGCACACCTCAATTCAACCCACGCTCTAATTTGCCTCCTCTAATATCTAACTCTAGGCATGTAACTCATTTCTACCCTCTAATTTTTTCATGTTTGAATTAAACCTCTATGTTTGCTTTATGTTTAGACTAATTTATGAGTGTAGACTAATTATTGTTTGCTTTATGTTTGATGTTAGATGGACTATTTTACTTCATGTTTGATGTTAGATTGAACTTTGAATTTCTATCTGTTTGAATATTGGAGTTATTATTTCTATTTGATGAACTTTAAATGTTGGATTGAATTTTGAGTTTTTGATTCTTTGAATGTTGAAACCGACCACCCAACCCATCTCACACCGCCTTAATCCAAACATCATTGGGTTGTGAAATTTTTCTAATATCGTTGGGGCCAAATATGTGCAACCCGCACCCTTTAGGACGACGGAAGAAAAAGCTCTACTCTGCACCAACTCAACCCATGAATAGCCCTAATTAAAATTTTTCATCACCATTGAGTTTTTATTAAAATATTATCTAAATACAAATTTAAGTTTTGACCCACCTAAACACAAATAGATTGTCAATTCAAATCATAACTCAAAATGTACACATCCAAACACAAACTCAAATTAGAGTCTCAACTCAAACCATACTCAAATACACATTAACTTAAATCAAGATATAAACTCAAGTCAACCTAACTCAAAAAATACAAATAAACAGGCCCTATCTAATTTAATAATACTAGAAATTATTATCCTAAAAACATACTAAAAATCTTATTAGTTTAAGGAATAATTTTTTTTAAGGAATAAATTTAAACTGCAGTTAAAAAAAATCTTAACAATTTTTAAATTTAAATAAAGAATGAAACAAATATTGAGTAAAAAAATCACAAAAAAAAAAAAAAAAAAACGCTCTTATATTCTCTCTCTCTCTTTTTCTATTCTCGAACCAGGTCTGAACGAGCTCTACTCTCTCTCTCTCTCTCCTTCCTTTCAATCTCAGACTAATAGCCAATTTGGTTCATAGATTAGAATCATGAGATTAAAACCATTTTTGATTTACGTGTGTTTTTTGTGAGAGAAAATACTGTAGCGAACCATGAACCATGATTCGAATCAGATAACGAATCCTCCAACCAAACGAGACTTAAATCTGAATGATTCTATCAGGGGGCGTTGCAATACGGCGACGGTGAAGGCTCCAATCGAGGTCCTACGACGGTGAAGGGCTGCAACAGTGGGAACCCCGACGCTGAAGGTCTGCGACGGTTGGGGCAAGCTGCAATGGAGGGGGGTTGAGACGGGCCATGCGATGGTTGGCGAGATGGAACGGAGGGGCTGAGATGGAAGAGGGCCTATGATAGTGGTCTTTCTCGGCGACAATAGCCATGGGGGTGAGGAGGCGATGGCCGGCAGCCGACAGCTAAGCAATGGGGAGATGGGTCTGCAGGTTTGTGATGGTTGGGCAGGTCACGATCTATGGTCGTGGTGGTGTGCGCGGGCTATGATTTTGGGTATTTGCTGAGATTCCCATAAATATGAGATTACTCTAATTTGAGGTAAAGTCTTGTGGGATTTACTTTAAAGTCTTATGGGATTTATGTAAAAATTGTAATTCTTGTATTAAATTTTATTCTCATCTAAAGATTACTGCATATTAAATATTTTTTAGAATAAAAAAAGATTATTGTCACTTAATGCATTTGAATTTTAGAATCATTTTAAGTTTGTTCCATAAATTTTAAAAACTCTCAATTTACGTTTCTTAACTCTCACTTAACCTCTTTTATTATAATAAAAAAATAATAATGCAGTCACATAGTATTTTTTAAAAAACTTTTATTAAAAATAAACAGATAAATACCACATAATCATACTTAAATTTTTTTTCATCTGATTTTAACTGCAATTCTTACAAAAAAGACTTAAGTGAGACAAATTTAACATTTAAAAAGTGGAAATTTTAAAAATTTAAAAAGCAAAATATAAAAATGACCTTAAAATTTTAAAAACACCAATAAAATTGATTATAAAAAAAACTTGAATAAAAAGGAAAAAATTAAATAGCAAAAAGTGAAAAAAATAAAACCAGCCAACCAAATCCCGAAGGCGACCCAGGGTTTGGTTGGTACTTGGTAGGCAATATTGGACAAAAATTAGGTTAGGTTTTCAAGATATTGAACTTTTAGTTTTTTTTTTTATTATTATTATTTATTGTTGGTTTTGTCCCCACTCTTGTATCAGAATGTTAAGCTTGGATGGTTTACCTTTTTTTCACCTGCTAATATTTCCTTTACTTTATTTCTTATATCTTTGTGTCCTCACTTGCACCTGTTGTTTTAAAGCAATACTTTTATTAAATATCATCACTAATAAAATATAAATCTCGTTTATAAATTTTACACTGTAAAATATTCTATTAATGAATGGCACTATTAGAGCCTTATAACATTGTTTGTATATTTTTCATACAAATTTATGCTTGCATTACGTTATAGATTGTTAATATACTGTAATTATTAAAAATAAAGAAGTCAGAAACATCCACTCTTGTTGCAGAAAATTTTGAATGACTCTTGATGGCATGGTTCAAGGCTTCAATCCTTTTTTTTTTTTTTTTCTAATTCAAGCATTTGACTTTCTGGAAGCAATTTTTTTTTTTGCTGATTACTTAAAAAAAAAAAAAAAAACATGCATTTGACTTTTTGGAAGCAATTTTTTTTTTTGCTGATTACATTAAAAAAAAAAAAAAAAAAAAAAAAAAAAAAAAAAAAAGAAGACTCTATATCCAATGTACTCTCGCTTTAATATATTCTACCTCTACCACAAGCAGAACATGATTGAATGGACTCCCCAGCAAATGTCTCCTCTAATTATTTCATTTACTTAATAAAGTAAATGCACATCACCAAGAATCCAACACAAAATTAGTATCTCCATTTAATTTATAATACGTTTTATATTTTTTTTTGGTAAAGTTCTTATATATTATACATTTTCTTACAATGCAATGCCATTAGTGCAGTTCTCCAAAAGTATATACATGCAATATTTCTGAACCCTGCATCGTATTTTAGCTCTTGAAATAATGCAATGAAGTCATACTACATGCTTGATGTTGGATCTTTCTCACCCACCACCTCATTTACTCGTAAGTCAAACACACATAATATTATTAGTTATACATTATATTCAACCAATCGAAACAATATGATCTACACACATAATTATAAACACCGATTTGAGATTGGCATCCTTAAGATCACCCGCAAGCTTTTTATTTATTTATTTTCTTTCTTTTTAAATAAAGAGAAACAGAAATGCATGAAATCCGTCATTTTTGGATGCTCATGCCACCTTATAAGACATAAAGATGGTGTTTACAAATTGAATTCCACGAATTAAGAGCCAATCTGCAATCTAATTACAGGATAAAAAATATCTCTATTCGTTACAAATCTAAAAATTCTCTCATCCTGTCTAATCCAATCCAATTTAAAATTAACGGTCCACAGATTAGATTTTGTGTAAGTTTATTTCTATAATTTAGGGTATGTTCTTTTGGAGTGTGACTTAAATGTAGTTTTTGAGTTGAATTTGAGTTATAACTTGAGTTGAAGTTGTAACTTAAGTTTATGTTTGGTTGTGTACATTTGAGTTATGGTTTGAGATAGAAATCTTTTTTTGAGTTTGTGTTTGAATGAGTCAAAACTTAAATTTGTATTTATATAGTATTTTAATAAAAACTCAATGGTGATGAAAAATTTTAATAGGGTGTATGGGTGGGGTTTTATTCGTCTTTTCATTGTCAATGCATATAAAAAAATCATCTCAATCAGGATTAAAACGAAAAAGTTATAACATTTTTAAAAATAAAAAATACTATTCATTAATTTGAGTTCGAGTTTCTGAACTCGAGTTGAAGGGGACACTTGAACTCGAGTTTTAGTCCCAAACTCGAGTTCAAACTTGAGTTTAAACTCGAGTTCAAACTTAAAAAAACATGAATTTGAATAAAGTTAGAACTCGAGTTATCTTTTTTTGAGTTTTTTAAGAAGCCGAACACACCCTTAGTATTTTAAGGACTATAAAAGGTTCATTTTTGCACCATTGAAAATTAAAATAAACATGTTATAACTTGTATATTTCGTGGATAAAGAAATACTCAATCTTTGAACCAATTTAAAATCTTCAATTGAGATTTTCTCAATTATTACCAATCCAAACAATTTCCAATGCGTCCAATGCGACGTATTGAATTGGTTACATGGATTGAACTGATTAACGGATTTTACAAACACCCTTAAGTATATTATTGTCCAAATTAAATGTGTCTACACCCTTAAGTGCTTCATAGTGGAAAGTGTCGTTGCCACTAATAGCATGTCTCTTACAGAAATTAATAAATTAGGACCCCAAAATTGTTATAAATATCTTAAGGCCCGTTCACTACGCTGATTCGAGTTTGTAATTCGAGTTGAGATTTGATTTTATGTGAGAGCTTTTTACTGTAGTAAAAAAATTAAATGTGACTGTTTTTGATAATTTTTTACTGTAGCAAAACTCAAATTCTAAACTCGAATTGGTGTAGTGAACGGGCCTTACAAACTTTAACTTGATGATATAGGCTCGTTTACTTTGCTGATTCGAGTTTGTAATTCGAGTTGAGATGTAATTTTGTGTGAGAGCTTTTTACTGTAGCAAAAAAGTTAAATGTGACTGTTTCTGAGAGCTTTTTACTGTAACAAAACTCAAATTCTAAACTCGAATCGGCGAAATGAACGGGGCCAATTTGTTGTCGCCACCTACCCCCAAATTATTCCTGGTTTGTTGTCCAAGTTTTCTGAAGAATCAAAGAGCACTAGTCTATTAGACGGTAGCTTTGCAACTAACGGTCAACATTAAGCGTGGATCCAACGCAGATACAAAACGCGAATAACAAGATTTTATAAAATGACGATTACATTGCCTGTTTAGGCATCGGAATATTCTAAAGTATATTCCTCTTTTATCATTACACTGCCCTAAAACTCTCGCATCTAACTTTTGGAGTCTCGAGAGGGCTACCTGCAATCACGTGAGGTATACAATATAAATATAATACATGTATGTATATATATAAGTATGATTGAGGCGTGTTTAGTTCGCTGATTTGAGTTGAGATGTGACTTTATGTGAGAATTTTTTATTATAGCAAAAAAATTAACTGTGACTGTTTTTTAGAGCTTTTTACTGTAATAAAATTTAAATTTTAAACTCGAATCGATGAAATGAACAGAACCTTGATGAGCACTATTATTTTAAACGTAAAATATTAATTCGACGATAACCACCGATAAAAACATGACTATTAAAACACTTTATGTATATTAGCTTGTTAATGTATTATTGAACATTCTTGATATCCAAATCAATCGACTTTGAGAAACATATATAATTGATGTAAACTCCTTCATATAGATTAGCTTGTTCGTGTATTATTGACCATTATTGATAGAATTATTTTCATAAGTAGCCCTCAATATATGTACCTTGTTTCAAAGTGCCTCTTAAATTTTTAAAATGTTTCAAGATGCCCCATGATCTATAGAAAAAGATTCAAAATACCCCTTTCGTCTAATTTTGTCTATATTCGTAACAAATTTTGGTGATATGGCAGGAAATAATTAAATTAAACACAGATCCTCAACTCATCTCTGGCACCGACAAAGATCATTCTTCTAGTTTCTTTTTTTTTTTTTTTGAAATACAGAAAGGAAAAATATACAAAATAAAAAAACAAAAACGAATTTGAAAAAAAAAATGTTGGAGACGCCATAGCAAGAGCCCAGCCCACATCGGGGATCGTCTAGTCGCAAATGGCGGATTGCGACCCACCACCTCCTCCAATCGTCCAAATCTAGGTTTCCCTCCATCCGGTGAAGACCTCGCATCAGGCTAGTCCTCTCGTGAAGAAATCCCACCGTCGCGCCACTTGCTCCTGCCGCTTCAAACAAATCTGCCCTACCACTAACACTTAGCTCTCATTGCACCCATCTTCAATCTCTATTAGCACGAGACTCTTCACATGACGCTCAGCTCCCGCAATGAGCAAAAAGACGTTTTTCTTTGTAAAATTGGTGTTTTAGATCTTGATTAGAAGTTGAGAATGTCGAAGAAAATAAGAAAAGAAGACTAAAAAAAATATGAAAAAGAAAAGAATATGTTTGAGATAAATTACTTGAAAAAATAAAAAAAGAAAGTGTTATTTTTCAGTCAAATTGATTTCTTGAAGAATTTTTCTTCAGTTAATGCTATTATTGTAAGAGTTTATGTGATTGAAACCAAGGTGTGTTTGGAGATAAATTACTTCTCTTTTAGAGCAAAAAATTATTTCTTTTGATGAGTTTAGCTATTCTTTCTTTTATAAATTAATGCCGAAGAAATTCATTTCTGAACAGTATTTCTCTTCTTTTTTTATTATTGTTTCTATTCAAATGCTAATCTGAAATTAGACAACACAGATGGAGCATAACGAAATTGGTCTATAAAACATCACTTAAAATGCGTTTTTAAATATCCAGAGTACAAATTTCCTGTAAAGAAATATAATTTGGATCGCCGCTAGAGATAATTATGAGTTGCTTCAATTGGTTCAAGCCAAAAAAGAAAAAGAAATCCTAAAAGAAAAAAAATACCAATTAATAGTAGCAACCGATTAAGAGTTTAAAATTTAAATAATTGGAAAAAGGGTTATAAATTATTAAAGAACAAATCCTCGACAACTTACAGAGCCAAGTGACTCCTGTACTCAGCCTCTTATCAAAGAAAAATAATGAGAAATTGTTCTCAAAGATAAAAATAAAGAAAACCCTCTCAATCTCGCCATGAAAAAAGCTATTCAAGCTTAATCAATCTACCCAAAACAGAAAATTTAAAAATGAACCCCAAGGATTTTGACAGCCTGGGCCTCATACACGAAAGGAAAAACAGGAAATAATGCCTCACAGTTCTTTTTGCCAATGAAAAACTTCATGCTCAGTACTTGTAGTCCTTAACATGGAGGCTTTCGGCGGCACCCTCGGCAAGGGTGGCATTGCCCTTGTAGGTTCCGAGGGTCGCCTCTGAGTTGGCCTTGCACCTGGTGAGCAAAGCAGCCTGGGCCTTGGGAATATTCTCCTCCTTTCCTGCCCAAGCCTTGAGGGTGCTCTGTTGAAGAGCACGTCCAAAGGAGAAGGTAAGAGTCCATGGCTTCTTTCCCTGGAGCTTGTTCATGGCATTCAGGTTGAGGGTAGCCTCCTCTTCACTCTGTCCACCAGACAGGAACACAACAGCGGGCACCGCAGCTGGCATGGTGCGCTGCAGGGCACGGACAGTGTACTCAGCGACCACCTCGGGTGCAACCTTTTTGGAATCTGATCCAGGAGTGACCATGTTGGGCTTTAAAAGAGTTCCCTCAAGGAGGACATGGTGGTCGTTCAAGGCCTTGTAGACAGCAGCGAGAACACGTTCGGTCACCTCAGCACACTTGCTAATGTCATGGGGTCCATCAACAAGGATCTCAGGCTCAACAATTGGGACAAGACCATTTTCTTGGCAAATGATGGCGTATCTCGCCAAGCCATTGGCATTCTCATTGATGGCCAGCTGAGACGGCTCGTTGGAGCCAATATTGAGCACAGCACGCCACTTGGCGAAACGGGCACCAGCTTCATAGTACTTCTGACAGCGCTGAGCAAGGCCATCAAGACCCTGGGTGGTGGTCTCGCCGTTTGTTCCGGCGAGTTCAACAGTACCCTTGTCGACCTTGATGCCGGGAAGGACTCCACCTTCCTTCAAGACCTCAACAAAAGGCTTTCCTGCATTACAATGAACTTTCATGTTATAAATATAAGCACCATATACGGGCCATTATCCTAATCTACTATCCCTTCATTGTACATTCCTAGATTGCATAATAAGAGTGTCTATTATTCTAGACAGGCACAAGGGCAACAATAATCCGATAAAATATACACAAATATACATATCGATTTGCAAAAAATTGTCAAATTCCTTTTATTCAAGAAAAGTTTAAGAACAATACCAGCGGCTGTAGATTGGTAAAGGGTTTCCTCAAAAAGGATTACTCCACTGAGGTATTGGAGGGCACCAGGGGCGGTGAAAAGGAGCTCACGCAGAGCACGCCTGTTTGACTCGACATTCTCTACATTGATGCTCGAGAGACGCTTTCCGATTGTGCCAGTTGACTCGTCAGCCGCAAGGATACCCTTTCCAGGGGTTCCAATGTAAGCAGCGTTGGCAATAAGCTCATCTACAGCACCCAAACCAATAAAAGAATCACTACATTTTAAGCAGAAATATCACAAAAGCACCCAATTTAAAAAAAAAACAACAGAGGATTAAAAACTCACAGACCCACAATATATATATATATATAGTACACGCATATACATACATATATACATACATGCATGATATATAGAATGAAAAGGAGAATATAATAATGGCTTAAAGGTTCCAAAAGTTTTTTTTTTCCCCCTAAAGCTCGGGTTTTTTTTTAACTCCTAAAATATTGCTACTATCGATCTTCCAAATCAAGGAAAAAGAAATCAATTTCCACATCAACTCAAGGGCAGAGATCAAGAATCAACAGAGATTATAATCAGATACATAATCGAATTCGGATAAAAATCAAAACTAAAACCGATTTCCAACAAATACGCATCAATAGCACACAAAAAATCAGATTTGCAATGTAAAAATCAATAAAACCCGGTCAAAATCAGATCCTATTTCAGTACGAAAAAGAAAGCTCAGATCCAAAACAAAGGCTATAAGTTTAGGTGAGAAACGCAGATCTACGCAACGCACAAAGAAAATATCGAGAAAATACAGCGTAACAACGAATCGAAAGTGAAAAAAACGAAGGAATTGAAAGGGGATTGAGGAGATTACCATAGTATTTGCCCTTGTAAGCAGACATTGTCGGAGAGATTTCGAAAGATTTTTGGGATTTTGATTGAGAAAGAATGAATGAGAGAGTCTATCGCTGCGTTAAGACACGATTGGTATTAGGGTTTTAATACGAGAGTTTAACCTCGGAGTTCACGCCCTCCCCTATGTGGGCTTTAGCAATTTTACTCTTTTACCCTTTTGTTTTTTTAATTTTTTAAATCTTTTCATAACCAACGAAAATATAGCCAGGTGAGCCCAGAGTAGGACAACAATAAATAAATAAAAATTCGAGTATTTTTTTTTTTTTATAAATAAACTACATTGTTGGCACCATGAATTTTTACTTTTTATATAATACAACTTAAAATATAATTTTGCCTAATTGACTTTCAAACTAATAACAACTAAGTTTAATAGCTGATAGACGTAATCAAATTAATAATTTGAGATAAAAAAATTCACAAATAATTTAATTTGAAAAATGATGAGTTTTATTTTTAATATGCAATTATCGTGCTCCAAACGGTCAATTTAATAACTCTAGTTAGCTATTAAACTTTAGTTGCTATTAATTTTAAAGTTCATGTATAATTTGATAAAATTAAAAATTTAAGGTGATTAAAATTGAAAGTTATGTACAATAATGCAATTTACTCTTTCACTTCCTAACTTTCTTTTTCTGAGATTCAATAGCGAGGATATTTGAGTAATTGGCCGAAAGACTCGACCAAAAACAGAGGCATTGTGTTTGTTGGGCATTCTGTGGGCAATTGTAATAGGAGCCCAACCCACCTGAATTGAGAAGGGTATATTTGGTAATAAGAATGAAAATAAGGTAGGTGCAACCGTAAAAACCGTGAGCGACGCTGATACCAACAGGAAAATCACGTTTTTCCGATTATTAAAAAAAAATATATATATATATATATATAGAGTGTGTGTTTAGAACCGTTTTAAAAATAATTTTACACGGATTTTAAGAAATAAAAATAAAAATAAAATGACGTTTATTTAATAAATATTTTAAAAATAAAAATAGTGAGAATGATTTTTATGAAAAAATTGAAAAACAATTGAAAATTATTTTTACATTTTTATTTTTATTTTTAGTATTTATTAATAATATTATAATATATTAATTAATAAACACGATTTTATTTTTTTATTATACTCAAAATAATCTATTAAAAAATTAACTAAATTTAATTTTAGAATCGGTCTAAAATAATTCTTAAAATAATCTCATTTTTATTTTTTATTAAAAATAAAATCATTTTAAAATTCATTCTAAACACACCTGTAAAATCTCGTTTTTCCTCTATCTCTTTCTTTTTTTCTTTAAGAAAATATAAAAAATGCCTAAAATGAGAAGAAGAATGCTAAAATAACGAATGCCTCTTTCCGGTACGAAAATCTTAAGCCGAGGTTTTTTTTGTACTAATATTTTTCATTTTTTAATTATTAATTAGATCGTCAATGTTGTTGTATCTATTTTTGTTTCTATACAAAGACGATCTGGAACCCTTCATTTTTAATCTGACAGTTTAAACAGAAATTCGTTATCAATACCAAATAATTACAGTTATGTGACGTTTTGCAAACTATAAAAAGATTTATAGGAATCTGAGAAAACAAGGTAAAAAATATTATTTAATTTAAATATAATACACATTTTAACATTCTCCTTTAAAAAAAATAAACCAACGGTAATACGTTATTACATAGTGATTATTGTCCATAATGTCATCTTTGTTCATGTGTCACGCCGAACAATATATTTGTACAATTTTATATGTAAATTTATGTTCATATAGTTTTGTGTCTCGAAAACCAAGAGTTGCTTATTATATATACACATACGTGTATGTACATAAGTCAAGCCAGTCTACTTATATTCTCATTAAAAAAAAAAAAAAAAAAACCTGTTTATTTATATATAAATATAGAAGGAAAATTAATAAAGAAATAAATTACATGAAGAGGGCTGGCATTCCCCTTTGATATTACAGACAAATAACAAGAAATGCGATCCCTTCGTGCAAAGAGAAAGAAAATAATAATATGTGAGAATAATTATATAAAACTCTCCACCTTTTGTGGGTCTAAAATGACAACTTGCTTGCAAAAAGATAATATTCTAACACTCTAATGAGGGCGTGGATCCAACGCAATTTATAAGGAATGATATAATATATATTTGCTATTTTGTCCCCATAATATACATTTCTCAATGTATAATACGCGTCACCACATAATATATTACCTAATAAGTACTCATAATTATTGATGACATTGTTAATTCAGGCTGAATAAAGAAGAATCTTAAGCTATATTTTATTTTAAGCTAGCCGAGTTTACCCCTAATTTGCTTCAAGTTCCAACTAAGCTACTCCTTATATCAACAAAGCAATAAGAGCATATAATTAATGTGTCAATTGTAAATTTAACATGCGTGTAAAAAAAATTTCTAATGTAATACTATTTATTGTGCTAAATTTTTTTTAATACAATATTCATGACACCAAACATTGTATTACATTATGATAATATTATACAATACAATACACCTTATACAATACAATACAAACTACTAAATATAACGGAAGTGAATTTCAATATTGACTATGACATAAGTACAAAATTTGACAAAACGGAAATATAGCTTTTGAAATAACATTATGTATTAAGGTACAAAATATAATGACAAATCAAATTATGTTTCATTGGATGATATTTTAACTATTGTGAAATAAAAATTTTTGAGAATGCCACAAAAACTCTTATTTTTGGATTTATGGAACCGATATTAGAGCACTTCGGATTTGACCACTCAAATAAACAAAGTCAAAACGTAATGTAAATCCAAACCTCACAACAACAACAAAAAAAAAACGTATAAAAATTATGGCATTCCATCTAATTTTCTCTTTTAAACTTCGAGGGTATTAATCCATCTTTCGTACGAGTAGGATCAATTTTTTTTTATGTATTAAGTTAAAATTGATATTTTTGGCATGTTTAGTTCGCTGATTCAAATTTTTAATTCGAGTTGAGATGTGACTTTATCTGAGAGATTTTTACTGTAGTAAATAAAATTAAATGTGACTGTTTTTAAAAAAATTTTACCGTAACAAAACTCAAATTATAAACTTAAATTGATAAAATGAACGGTGTGATTTTTCAATAATTCTTCTTATTTAAGAGCAGGCTTCGGAGGCCTGTTGGATCATGTTGGCTTGTCCCACCATGAAAAACTGAAAACAGGCTAATGAAACACTGGCCCCAATCTAAGTGGCCCACAGGCCCAGGTTGGCTACCTCATTCAAAAGAAAATCCTGATTTTTTGTTCTTGCAACAAAGAAATCATGAATTCTGACCTTTTTGATAGGATTGAAGACAGTAAACTTAAGAGTTTTAATGGAAGATCATTGGATTAGGATATGTAATTTGGTAGAACGAGGAGAAGAAATAATTGTAGCGAAAGAAGCTTTGTCTTTGTCTTTGTCCTTTTTTTTTTTTTTTTTTTTTTTTTTTTTTTTTTTTTTTTTTTTGAGAGCTTTGTCATTCTTTTCTTGTCTTATATTGTTCAATATTCAATAAGCTCACAAAAGTCACCCTAAATCATTAAAAGCTTCCTTATAAGAAAAAACCCAATAGACTCTCCTAGATGTCTTTTTTGCTTCTTCAACTTTTCTTTGGTGAAAGGAACATAGAAACCTTACATAGCCATACTTCTATAGACAACAAAACCTTACTGCATGTGAGACAAATATTAATCTCACAAGAATTAATTAATACCATATCTCCAAATTTCTAAGCTTTCATTGAAAGAAACCAAGAAAATTGGTGCATTATAATTGGAAACACACACATAATTCATGAAAAAGAAAGAGACGCTCCAACCCTTTTATTCATTCATTTATTTCTCCTTAGCCAACCTCTTGTGGCTAATATATATACATATATATATATATATATATTTTTTTGTATATATATGAATATGTATTTATATACCAAACCATGTAGTCATCAATGAGAAAGTGACTGAGATTTATTGTCACATGTATGGCATGGACTTCCACGTGCAGTGAAAAATCCGTGAAAACCAACTAGTCATGGGCGTTGTGTTTTTCTTTCGGCCTGCGTTAAAGCCCCTCACCTAACGTTGCAGCGTTGCCCGCCACCCCCAAAAGGATAGTGAGAGGCCAATCACTTCTTCTTTTTTTTTTTTTTTTTTTTTTTTTTTTTTTTTTCATTTATTTTACACTGTGATATTGGTCATATTATTTATCATCGCACATTAGATACCAAAAGTACACAAAATTTATAGTTCGCCATTGGTGTAACAGTTTTAGCTAGGCTTAAAGGGTAGATCCGCACAATTTATGTGACGCGTGTAGGTAGTTCAGTCAATTTTTATTTTTTATTTTTTATTTTTGGAGTATTTCTCTCAAAACCTCAATTCCATAGGTACTAGGAGTTTTTTTTTACGGTAGGGTATCTCTCTCAGTAGCGCGGCGCATGTTTCTGAACATTAAATCTCATTCAAATCACATAAAAAGAATATACAAAACTGATAGAACTTGATATATATCTGTTGGAATAATATTTCTCTATTTTTTTTTACAGTAGAGCTTTATTTTTTATTTATTTTTTTTGGAATATTTCTCTCAAAACCTCAATTCCATGGAGAATATCTAATTATTGGTATCAGGATTCTTGAAAGGAAAATGTTATTCATCCTGACTCATTAAACTTGGGATGCCTCATATGGGACGGAGAATCGAGATAAATATTAGTACTCTTCATGAGATGAATGTCATGTATGATCGTATTTGATATATCACCACAAAATTAATTAAGAGTGACTCTCACTCAAGCTCAATTATAAGCCTTGTTTGGTGAGGGAGAAAGTAGAAGATAGTGAAAACATTAGAGTAGGGAATAGATTGAGTAAAAAATAAAAATAAAAATCCTCAACGGATCAAATTTTGGTCCTTGCAAATAAGAATATTTAGGTGTTTCATAGAAATCAAGTCCTCACCTTATTAAGTAGATCATGCCAATATCTCCAGCTAATGTGAGATTTTAATATGCCCCCTCACGCACAGCGTGGACTATGCCAAACCGCTGCGAATAAGTCGATATAGGAGGACCCAACATTGTAAAACTGGGCCTGCTCTAATACCATTTTACAGAAATCAAAGAATATTATGCCTAACTCAACCTAACAAACTGACTTGTTAGAGGAGTATTGTCCTCACCTTATTAAGTGGATCATGCTAATATTTTCAACCAATGTGGGATTCTAATAAGGTGAGAGAATTCATATCAAACACAATAACAATGAAAATATGTTTTTTTTTTTTTTTTTTTTTTTTCATTTCCTGCATTTAAGTAATATGTACATTTTTCTACCAAACAAAACCTAAACCTCAATAATATAAAAACACGTAGGACTTATTGTTGTGTACTAGCTTGCCTTAATACCTTTATTTACAAAGAAATAAGGCTAGGTATGAGAATCAGAGAAGAATCAAGTCTTAGGCTAGAGGGATGGAGCTATAGTATTAGTAAAACCCCCATTTAAAACTATAGGCTTGTACTCACATCAATCTAAATTGTTTTTAAAGTTGGTGAAAAGTCTAAAATATGGTTGTTAGAATGCAGGTACAAAATCAAGTGACATCATTTTATAACAGTACCAATACCCTCTTTCACCAAGACAATTGATTTATCATCACAATCTATTGGAATACATCTTTTTTTTAAAATTCTTTTTGGATAAAATTGTACCCTAGGATAAAGGGCACCTTTTTTCATCAAGAGAAACAGACAAATAAAAAAAGAAGAAAAGAAAAAGAGAAATATATCCCTCAACTATGGAGATATAGATTTAGAATATATATATATATATACACACACACACACACAAGTCACAATTAGTAGAACCAATAACAAATATATATAATTGTCCTGTGACCAGACAAGACCGATATAAAAAAAAAATGGGAATCTTAAAAAATGATCTGCAGCTTTTTTTTTTTTTTCCCCTTGTTTTCCAATAAAAAAAATGAAAAAAAATATATATACACAAGTCACCTTTTTTTTTTCTTGTTTTCCAATTAAAAAATGAAAAGAAAAATAATCAGTCAGGATTCTTACAAGCACAGATGAGCAATGAAAACTCATGACCTGCAGCTTCTTCCTTGTGCTCCAAAACTGTCGTTTGTTCCAACCAAAGCCTGCTGTTCAACCCAGTTCTTGTCCTGAACATGAAAACGGCACAACCAGAAGTACATATATATATATTTTTTTGTATATATATGAATATGTATTTATATACCAAACCATGTAGTCATCAATGAGAAAGTGACTGAGATTTATTGTCACATGTATGGCATGGACTTCCACGTGCAGTGAAAAATCCGTGAAAACCAACTAGTCATGGGCGTTGTGTTTTTCTTTCGGCCTGCGTTAAAGCCCCTCACCTAACGTTGCAGCGTTGCCCGCCACCCCCAAAAGGATAGTGAGAGGCCAATCACTTCTTCTTTTTTTTTTTTTTTTTTTTTTTTTTTTTTTTTTTTATTTTTTATTAATTTTTTTTTTTTTTTTTTTTTTTTCTTTTTTTTTTCAATGTTACATTAATTATTTCAGTTTTATTTTACACTGTGATATTGGTCATATTATTTATCATCGCACATTAGATACCAAAAGTACACAAAATTTATAGTTCGCCATTGGTGTAACAGTTTTAGCTAGGCTTAAAGGGTAGATCCGCACAATTTATGTGACGCGTGTAGGTAGTTCAGTCAATTTTTATTTTTTATTTTTTATTTTTGGAGTATTTCTCTCAAAACCTCAATTCCATAGGTACTAGGAGTTTTTTTTTACGGTAGGGTATCTCTCTCAGTAGCGCGGCGCATGTTTCTGAACATTAAATCTCATTCAAATCACATAAAAAGAATATACAAAACTGATAGAACTTGATATATATCTGTTGGAATAATATTTCTCTATTTTTTTTTACAGTAGAGCTTTATTTTTTATTTATTTTTTTTGGAATATTTCTCTCAAAACCTCAATTCCATGGAGAATATCTAATTATTGGTATCAGGATTCTTGAAAGGAAAATGTTATTCATCCTGACTCATTAAACTTGGGATGCCTCATATGGGACGGAGAATCGAGATAAATATTAGTACTCTTCATGAGATGAATGTCATGTATGATCGTATTTGATATATCACCACAAAATTAATTAAGAGTGACTCTCACTCAAGCTCAATTATAAGCCTTGTTTGGTGAGGGAGAAAGTAGAAGATAGTGAAAACATTAGAGTAGGGAATAGATTGAGTAAAAAATAAAAATAAAAATCCTCAACGGATCAAATTTTGGTCCTTGCAAATAAGAATATTTAGGTGTTTCATAGAAATCAAGTCCTCACCTTATTAAGTAGATCATGCCAATATCTCCAGCTAATGTGAGATTTTAATATGCCCCCTCACGCACAGCGTGGACTATGCCAAACCGCTGCGAATAAGTCGATATAGGAGGACCCAACATTGTAAAACTGGGCCTGCTCTAATACCATTTTACAGAAATCAAAGAATATTATGCCTAACTCAACCTAACAAACTGACTTGTTAGAGGAGTATTGTCCTCACCTTATTAAGTGGATCATGCTAATATTTTCAACCAATGTGGGATTCTAATAAGGTGAGAGAATTCATATCAAACACAATAACAATGAAAATATGTTTTTTTTTTTTTTTTTTTTTTTTTCATTTCCTGCATTTAAGTAATATGTACATTTTTCTACCAAACAAAACCTAAACCTCAATAATATAAAAACACGTAGGACTTATTGTTGTGTACTAGCTTGCCTTAATACCTTTATTTACAAAGAAATAAGGCTAGGTATGAGAATCAGAGAAGAATCAAGTCTTAGGCTAGAGGGATGGAGCTATAGTATTAGTAAAACCCCCATTTAAAACTATAGGCTTGTACTCACATCAATCTAAATTGTTTTTAAAGTTGGTGAAAAGTCTAAAATATGGTTGTTAGAATGCAGGTACAAAATCAAGTGACATCATTTTATAACAGTACCAATACCCTCTTTCACCAAGACAATTGATTTATCATCACAATCTATTGGAATACATCTTTTTTTTAAAATTCTTTTTGGATAAAATTGTACCCTAGGATAAAGGGCACCTTTTTTCATCAAGAGAAACAGACAAATAAAAAAAGAAGAAAAGAAAAAGAGAAATATATCCCTCAACTATGGAGATATAGATTTAGAATATATATATATATATACACACACACACACACAAGTCACAATTAGTAGAACCAATAACAAATATATATAATTGTCCTGTGACCAGACAAGACCGATATAAAAAAAAAATGGGAATCTTAAAAAATGATCTGCAGCTTTTTTTTTTTTTTCCCCTTGTTTTCCAATAAAAAAAATGAAAAAAAATATATATACACAAGTCACCTTTTTTTTTTCTTGTTTTCCAATTAAAAAATGAAAAGAAAAATAATCAGTCAGGATTCTTACAAGCACAGATGAGCAATGAAAACTCATGACCTGCAGCTTCTTCCTTGTGCTCCAAAACTGTCGTTTGTTCCAACCAAAGCCTGCTGTTCAACCCAGTTCTTGTCCTGAACATGAAAACGGCACAACCAGAAGTACTACTCGAATTGAAGAACCAATCATGAACATCCCACATCATATCAACCAACAATCCGTCCAAGAAAATCGCTTGATTCCCACGAAAATTCCACCTCAATCTCCTCACCTTAAATATTGTCTTCTTATCAATACAAACAGACAAAACAGGATTATTATTATTATTATTATTCTTGTTATTATTAATATTACTATTGTTGTAACTTTCTTCTTCTTCTTCTTGGTCTCTCCCACACTTTATCACAATATCATGTTGAATTCCCTCGTCACAAAACTGAGCCTTTGTGGAGTAGAAAGCGTTACAAGATATCAACCTCTCACTCCTAGAAACCAAGGAGAATTTCCCATTTGGAAATCCTGTGATAAGATTGATATTACTATTATTATTCTTTGCAATATAGTCCTTGTGACCAAGAACCAGGCAAAGTTCCGAGTCAACCAAAACCATGACGTAAAAACCATCAACCGGCTCTGGCCCTCCTTCATACTTGGCGTTGGAAAAATCCCACAAAACTTCAACCTCGTGGTTACCACAAGATGAAATGAAATTCTCGTTGCCCTTTTGCTTCTTTAGCCGCTTGAAAGTCTCCGAGCTTATCGCCTTTTCGCCGCCGCCGCCGCCAACGACTTTGATCCCGGCTGTGAGGTTGCTGAACCAAGTGAGCGTGATCATGAGGACTTGGTTTTGGTTTGAGAGCTTTGTTTTGTAAATGCAAGTGACTTCTCTTGGGGTTGAATAACAAGGGTTGAGTTTTGGGGTGAGATAATTGGCCAAGTTTGAAGAGCCTGAACAATAGGAATCTGAGACCTTAATGGCATGTTCACTATAACAAGTTGCTACGCTCCTCATGGTAAGGGGAAAAAAAAAAAACAAAAGACACAACGAAAGATAATTAAAAGAAGAGAAGAGAAATATGAGAAATGGGCAAGGAAAAAGAGGAGGATTTTATTTTTAAGGCGTTTGTTTTGAAGGAAGATATTGTGGAGAGTGAAGGAGACAAAAGATAGATTGGGGGAATAGAAGAAGAAGAAGAAGAAGAAGTAATAGTAATACTTCTCTTCTTCCCTTTGGTTTTCTTCCATGTGGGGGAGATGTACTTTCCATTTCACAGAATTAGTGCAAAAAGGAAACCCAGTAAAGACAATTTTTTTTTTTTAAAAAGAAAAATAAAAAATGAAAGTAATCCATGTTCTAAGCCAGCCCATCTACATTAATTACGATTCCCCTTTAAACCTTAATTTTTCTTTTCGTTTATGAAAAAAAAAAAACGGAAAAAGATGACCATGAAAGAGTTATTACATAATAATAAGGTTCCATAACCCCTTTTCTTGTGCCAGTAAGCCATCATAGGGGAATAAATTAATTTACATAATTAGTGCCTTAGTTTGTGGTGACATTAAATTTCTTGTATTCATTGTAAAATTAATTCCCAAAATAATATTATAATAGACTGACCAATGCGGGAAACTTTTTTCTTTTTTTTTTTTTGGCTGCCTCCTTTGTTAAAAGAAAGAAAGATGAGCATTTAATGATTTTACTATGTTAGATTAGAGGGTGAGACAAGTAAGAAATAGGTAACTGCCATGGGGTGAGATTTCCATATTTTAGATATATGATGCCACATGGGTTTAGGCTGACTTGGAATAGTATTGGATAACATGGGGTTGGCTGATGGTGATGATGATGAATAGGTGATGGTGATAGGTGGGTCCCTTGTGAAATTAAAAAATGGCCCAAGGAATTCACCTACTACCATATGAAGACAACTATGAACTTGGATTTTCTTAAAAATTAGGAAAAAAAAATTAAGGTCTCATTCACTCCGCGGATTCGAGTTTTTAATTTGAGTTAAAATGTGACATTTTTTGAAAGCTTTTTACTGTAGCACAAAAGGTTAGATGTGACATTTTCTGAGAGCTTTTTACTGTAGAAACCTAAAACTAAAAACTCGAATCGGTGAAATGAACGATGCCTAATATCTTTGAGTTTGGATTATTAATACTTTAAGAGTAATGGGATGTTTATTTTCTATATTCGTTTATGATTTTAAATTATGATTCATGGTTTTTTACAGTATTTTTTTCTCATAAAAAAACACACGTAAAATGAGAATGATTCTAAATCATAATTCTGAATCTATGAACCAAACGTCCACTAACATATTCTAAACTCATACGTTTTAAGAATAAATTCACTAATTTTCTCTAAAAATAAATGAAAGAAAATAAAAGAGAGGAACTTTTTCTTAAAAAAAAAAAAAAAAAGAAAAAACATTTGTTTACCATCAATTCGTAATCTAATTGAGTCACTGCCCAGTTTCAGTTACAAAAAAAGCTGGCCTTCTTTCCGTTTGAGAAAGAATAGTGACAAGCAAACAATAGCCAGAAGTTGTTCTTTGGAGTGTAACTTGAGTGTAATTTTTGAGTTAAATTTGACTTATAACTTGAGTTAAAGTTGTAATTTGAATAAAGTTGAGTAAAGTTGAATAAAGTTAAAATTTAAAAGAACATAAACTTGAATAAAATTGTAACTTGAGTTTAAACTTTTTCTGAGTTTTATTATAAAAGAACAACCCATATTTAGCTTTTTTCACTTCCTTGAATTTATGACACATTTAGGCCTAAAAAAAACAGTTATCTTGCATCACATTAAGATAACTTTCTTAAAAAGGAGCAAAAATAAATAAAAATTAAAAAAGAAATTAAGATAACTGTCTTAGATCAGTTGTTGTTCAAAGGATAAAGGGCCACTCTCATCTTTTGGCCCACAAAACTCATTTTTTGGTCCACAGAGCTATTTGGTTACTTCTCAGAAGCAAAATCACAAAGAAAAAACACTATTATGAAGAAAGTAGATATAGATTTTATCAGATTTCAAATATTAGGCATGTAGCCTAGGACAGATCAAGTTGGTGATCACTTTCTTCTTTTTTGCTATTTGAGGTTTTTTTTTTTTTGGAAGCCATTGGACCACAACTAGCAATTTGTCTTGCCATCGTAAATTTGGAAAGCAACAAATAAACTGAAGCTAAGAAAATTTGGAAGATATATTATAGCACAGGATGTTTAAAAAAAATCATTTTAGAACTATGATGCAGAACCATTCTCATTTTACGTGTGTTTTGTGTGAAAAAAAAAATATTGTAGCGAGCCACGAACCATGATACGAATCTTTATTCCAAACGCACGACATGTTCTTGAGCAACGGAGATAGATAGGAAATGATATGTATCCTTAATCCGGATGACTTAGGATGAGAAGGAGTTATGGATTCCACAATGCAAGTCCCATCATGGGCGCCATTTGATGGTCTCGCATTGTAGGGTTTAAAACACAAGGCTTACAATGGAGAAAATTAGATGGCATGTCATAACGGTTATATGTTTCTAAATCAATGCCACCAAAATTTCTCTAAAATTTCTCGAGTGAATTTGCGAGACAACATGAATAATTTTGTGGGATTGAATAACATTTTTCATTCATATTACGAGAATTAATTTAGTCGATAACAATTAGTCGTGATGTGTATAATGAAGTAACGCCTGCCAAAACGTGATGCTTCACAAATAATCTAAAAAAGAAATAAACTTTGAATGCATATATTGAGTGGTTCACTTTCAATTGATCTGATTCTGCAAAAAAAGAAACAGTACTGTTTCTTGGGTTACAACAATAGTAAACAAATAATATATCATTATCACACCAAGATTCTTTCTTGGATGTAAAGTTAAAATGTCTTTTGCCTTTTTCCATACAAATTGGAGAGGAATTGAGAAACATAGATAAAGGAAACTACTAGAAAATAACATAAACAAAATAGCACATATGTCAAAATAAAAATCTTTAGTCATAACATTCTCATTGTTTTAGTAATGAAAACATGTTTATTGTTTAATAATATGGAATATTATTGTTTAGCTGCTCTTTTATCCAGAGATTAATATTCACTATTTAATATTGCATGAATAAATTGTGTGAGTTGTGACGAGACTTCTCTCACGCCCATTTTTAAAAGCAATAATTTATTTGGAGAATTGTAGATGAGAGGTGACAATATTATAGTTTGGTTGGTGAATATTTAAAATAAACTCCAAGGACGGTCTGAATTGGTGAACTTGCTTGAATAGAAACAAATGTATGAAGGGCTAATTCTTTTGTAGCACTAATAAAAAACTTATTTTCTTTTTTGTTTTATCATTTTCTAAGATTATTTTTGTGATTATAACAATTAGCAACATTAAAAGTGCATGTGCATTTTATAATTATTAATGGTATTATAATAATTATTTCTGTTAATTAATGTGCTAGTGATATATTTAAAAGAAAATTCTTCAAATAATTGGTTGTTAAAAAATAAATTTTTTTTTTAGTAATTCTTTAAATAATTCTAGACATGTTTCCCTTTATCGTCTTATTTTGTTTCTTATTTCATTTTCAACTATTCTTTTTCCTCGGCAAAAAAAAAACAAAAAACAAAAAGAAAAGAACCTACTTAATTACATGGTCCCAATGACGGTCCTCATCGCCTAGTAGAATTAGCTGCGTAGAATATTTTACCAAAACATTGTATAAGCAAAGTAAGAATATACTTTTCTTCTCCCCACAATGCCCAACTCATGAAAAAAAAAGTCCAAAAAGCATTTATTCTTTACAAACACTTCAGGTTTCCAACTTATTATAAAGATACAACATACACCTGTAAAACCGTATGTATATGAGTAAACAAAATAGTTGCAATAATTTTTAGTAGAAATTTTGTCAAAACCAGACAAAAATAGAACATATAAAAATTTCATATTATTATGTTGTTATTAGCATAAAATTTTCATATTATTATGCTCCCTTTAAACATACTCCGAAAAGTGGAGGTATAAATTCTAGACACCTTATCCGGACCCAGCGCTCCGAATAATGGAATTGGGCTGCCTCAATCTGGACTGATTAAGTAGAAGATTAGGCCAGTCTACATCCAAAAATCGTTTGGCCTAAATTTTATAAGGTATTTAAAAGAAAAAAAAGAGAAATTTTATAAATTTATTCTTAATAGTGTGTGGATCTTAATTTTCACCTCTAATTCTTGATTAAACCCTTTTAATTAATATAGTAATTTGTTTTAAAGGATATTAATTAAAAATAAAGAGTAAAAATCTAAATTTATGCACTTTAAAGAGTATTTGTCTCTTTTCCCTGTAAAGATGATTTAAAAAAAAGGTAAGGAGTTAAATCTAAATTTATGCACTTTAAAGAGTATTTATCTCTTTTTCCTTTAAAGATGATTTAAAGAGAGAGAAAGGACTATATAATTAGGGCCCGTTCACTTCGCTGATTCGAGTTTGTAATTCGAGTTGAGATGTGATTTTGTGTGAGAGTTTTTTACTGTAGCAAAAAAGTTAAATGTGATTGTTTCTGAGAGCTTTTTACTGTAGCAAAACTTGAATCGGCGAAATAAACGGGGCCATTAGTCTTTCAATCCTAGATTCTCAGTGTAGACTGACTAACTAAGAGGACGTTTGATTTATGTATTCAAAATCATTCTCGCTTTACGTATATTTTTTGTGAGAAAAAATACTGTAGATAATCATAAATCATGATTCAGAATCAGTGACGAATATAGGAAACAAACGTTCCCGTCTTTAAGTAAAATGGGCTGATTACAGATTAAAAAGATGATTTTAAACCTGTTTGTTTAATTCAGTCTAAACTTACAGTTCTATTGAAAAAACAAAAAAAAAAAAAACAAAAATGGTAATGGAGAATGTAAAATAAATATGAATATTTACACGCATATATAAAGCTACTTCAATGGAGATGTGTTCATTTTCATCCCACTCAGTAGTAGGGTATAAAATT